ACCAACAACACTTACAGCCCCTACAGCACCAACAACACTTACAGCCCCTACAGCCTCTAAAGCACTAATAACACTTACAGCCCCTACAGCACTGACAGAGCTCCAGAAGGAGCTGACTTCATTCCAGCAGACCTACTTCTTCCTAACTGCTTCATGGCTTAGAGCCCAGAAGCTTCTTTCCTCCGACCTTCTTCTTGATGGCTGGGCTCCACCATTAGGGTTTTAATGTAATTAAAACAATGGAGGTAAACGACAACATCCTTTCTGCTGTCAAGACACGGATTTGAGCCTGTACCAACAAGCCTGCTGGGAAGAATGAACCCACCTCTCACAGCAGAAATGTCTTCTGTGGTGAAGGAGATCGCACGACACTACAGATACCGAACAGCTCTCTTCACCGCTGCAGTAGAGGCTGCTCATCGTCTGCCACCCCTCAGGGCTCACCTGGAGAGACTACAAACCAGCACACACCTGAAAGTTTAACAGTGCATCAACGATCAAAGGAACAGAATATATGTTTTCTGCAGCTTATGTAAAGAACTCGTTTAGCCCCATTTGTGTGAAACATGTTTCTTAAGGCGGATGAGGGGATAAGGACCCTTCTCTGGCCAGGTTGTTGATAGCCAGCCTCTGCTATCTGTCTGGGGCTCACAGTTCTCCTCCACTTCATCCCTGGCAAGTCATCGGTTCGAAACACATAGTTTCATATAACCTGCTACCTCCTGCATCCCCTCAATACTGGCACAGAAGAACCCGAGAGTTGAACTGTTACAGAGTGCAGACCGAGCCTTGTGTGCTCACATGTTGCAGGCTCGAGCCTGGGGCAGATTCCTGGCAGATCCTCTCTGAGGTTTGGTGTCCTCCACCACCCTGTAGCTCCCAGCTGGCAGCCCACCGGAGCTCAGCAGGTGTGAGCCTGGTCGGTACCTGAATAGGAGACCTCCTGGGGAAAACTAAGGCTGCTGCTGGAAGAAAAGTTAGTGGGCCAGTAGGGGGCACTCACCCTGCGGTCTGTGTGGGTCCTAATGCCCCAGTATAGTGACGGGGACACTATACTGTAAACAGGCGTCGTCCTTCGGATGAGATGTAAAACCGAAGTCCTGACTCTCTGTGGTCATTAAAAATCCCAGGGCATTTCTCAAAAAAGAATAGGGGTGTTACCCTGGTGTCCTGGCCAAATTCCCCCCTGGCCTTTACCAATCATGACCTCCTAATAATCTCTGAACTGGCTCCATCACTCTGCTCTCCTCCCCACTGAGAGCTGCTGTGTGGGGAGAGGACTGGCGCATCATCCAGGTGGGGCTGCACCCTGGTGGTGGTGGAGGGGATCCCCATTACCTGTAAAGCACTTTGAGTGGAGTGTCCAGAAAAGTGCTATATAAGTGTAAGCTATTATTATTATTATTATTATTATTATTATTATTATTATTATTATTATTATTATTATTATTATTATTATTATTATTATTATTATTATGTGCGGGCAGGCAGGGTCAGGCAGGTGAGCAGAACCTCTGTGTCCTCTCCTTCAACTGGAAAATCCAAGTCAGTAGGATCTTTAATAAAAAAAATAAAAGATGATTTCTAATTAAAACAAAAGATCAGCATATATGTTCACAACTAGCTTTTTTTTCCTGCAGTTCCACCACAGAGTGAAATGAGGGATTTTACATTTGTTTCATCTCCATTTTTCATTCCGCTCATGTCACATTTGTTTCAGTGTGCGGTTTCTTCTCTTGACTTCTAAACGGCGGCTTTTTGCTTAAAATACAGACTTTGTGAACAAACTGGGTCATGCTGCACACAAAAAAACCCCAACATTTTCCAAATAAGAAAAAAAAATCTCTGCATCCTGGCATACGGAATATTTAGGACGCAATTGTCCTGCTTTTTTTGTGCTCTTGATCCAAGAAAAACATGATCTTCTCCAGGCCTTAATTAGAGCAGTGCGACTTCATGCCGAATTGAGTTTATAGCTTGTTTTGAGTTCTGACCGCGATGTTCTAAAAAAAGCCTTTTGAGACCCTAAAATTCCCAAAGTATGGACAGAACCTGAGAGAAACTACAGCCAACAGAACAGCAGCCTCCACGGTCCTCGCGGACCCCCTTTGTGGGGGGCTGGCTTGTGTTTTCGGGCCGAGATCAAGGGTCTCCAGCTCTGGGTTCGGGAGCAGGTCTCAAAATCCAGGGGGTTTTATTGATCACCTGTCAATCACTTCTAAAGACAGCGGACAATTTGATTGCGATCACTTGAATGGGTGTTGGGTTAAAATAAGAAATGTAATTGATTGTTCGGTTCAGGAATCTTATTGCTGTTGTTTTCCTCGGGGGCTGTATGACATACAGGTGCTCCTGAACCAAAGAAATGAGTGACTTCTAAAATTCACGGGACTGGAGCGATCCAGGAGCTTTGCTCCAGATGCAACAGTGCCACCCTCTGGTCAGCCTTCGTCACTGCACACACAGCAGCAGTCTGACTGTAGACGTCCCTTATCGGAAAGCTGCTCGTTTCTTGACGCCCCAGAGACTATCCCAGAAGCACTAAGCAGAAAAACACAGGATGAGCGAGCAAACTCCAGACAAAAGGTTCACCACCCTATAGCTGCCTTTGTCTGTCCTTCTACCTGTATTACAGAATACATGACCTACATGTATTATGCGGATCATTCATGTTAATTAACCAAGTAATTAAATTTGTGTAAAGAAGTGCTTGCTGTTCTTGGTTTCAAGTGCACTTCCAGTTAGTCCTCTGCTTTGCTTTACACTGTTCAGACACCTGTATATACAGTATATATTATAAGATACACCTTTCATTATTAGATCCGTCTGTGTTAAGTCCAGTCATGTGACAGGGCATAGACATGTGTTACCTGAGGATCTGAAAAGCAAGTCTAATCCTGCTAGCTCACATGTCACCAGTGCATGTCCTTCAGCTGAGGCTGTGGTGAGAACAGGGGTGTGTTTGTGCAGAACTGTGCCATTCTGTTATGTCCAGGTAGGCTGAGATTTGGGGGATAGTCCAGGACAAGGGGGATGACAAAAGTCTGTCTCCGGCCTCCTCCAGTCCAGACAAGCCGTGCCTGGCCTTTTGACCGGGGGGTTGTTAGTATTTTGGACATGAGAACAAAAACAGCATGAAAAAAAAAAACTAGAGAGACGACTTGACCAGGCATTTTGCTCCCTGATTCACCTGGGCTCCACGAGAAACATGACATCATGTTCTCTGTTATTTTTACCAGTTTCTGGCTGGCAGCTGGCCTAGTTCTCTATATAAGGACTAGGCTGGTACAGTATGAGATGCAGCCACATGCTCGCTGACTTCCATCGGCGGTGACTAACCCTCACCCCGCTGAGACAAGCGGCCTCAGAGATCTCCCGGCATGTGACAGCTCAGTGACTCCAGATACATCAGCCTGTTGAGAGACTGTGACTGAAGAGTGAAGCTCCAGACTGCTCCCATGATGACTAGTGTGCCTGAAAAACCAAGTTCAAATTCAAAAAGCAGAAAGGACGCCTGGCTAAACTGTGCCTGTAAAAGGTTGTAATGATTCAGGTGTGATCTTAACTTACAAAGGGCTGCAAGCCAGACAGAATATTGAACTTGTATGGTTTATATAGGTCCTAGAGATTCACTGACTCCCAAATCCCATCCAGAGGATTTTAGAAGAATCCTAGAATGCCCATTTTAAAAACCAGACAGCTCACTCCAATTTAAATAAAATCTGAATCCATAACTGCACTATGCTGTGTCAACCATTTACATTATGTACAGTATGTGACCTACAATCAACACGAGAGTCGCTCAGATAGCAAACAACCTATTTTTCTGAGGTAAAGCTTACGGAAGGAGAAATAAACTTACTTATAGAACTATCACATGCATGGAATTCACACAAATTACTTTTCCAAGACTCATCTTGCAGCATCAAAATTCTCACCTTTTTTCCCTGTGTTTTCTGACTGGTGCAGTAACCCCTGTAGTGCCTCCATCCTTTTTCTCCTACGGTCTTAGGGCAGCCAGAGCCTTTCCCAGCAAGCAACGGGCACAAGGCAGGGTACACAACTGGACGGGACATGAGTCCATCTCAGGGCACACACACACAGACACACCCACGAGAGGAAAAGACACATAGAAAGAGTTAGTAAGAATCCTCACGGTGAGGAAACAAACTGGGGAAGCATATCGGTGTTGCACAGGCTTCCGTGTACAGCGCCACCCGGAGCAGTAAACACGAACACATTTTCCCTCAAGTGACATGTAGACTTCGCTGTGCCGATATGTTCTATTAAACAACCTAAAGAGCAAAACTAAAAGTAGATCTGATCTAAACCGGCATTCAATACACAACGGGAATACATCGAGCGCCTGAAGCCAGTCTATTTTCTCTTCAACAGCTATCAAACTACCGAGTCGTTCGCCGAATTCTTCGTCACCAATCTGACAAGCCGCGCTCTGTCAAACCAGCCATCGAGAAAAGTCACCGACCGGTTTATTAAGTGTCGTTTAAGTCTTGATGAATATTTCAAAGTCATGGAATAGAAAGCAGGGCTTTTCTTCAGACCCAGGCGTCTGTAAGGCCCTTCATTAAAGATTAACATTGCCATTGTACTAAACCACCTCTCTCTCTCCCCGAGAGGCAGATGTGTCATAACCGGAGGTATCTGATAGCATGTGCGCTGAACAACAACACAAGTTGAACTAATTACATTGGTGACACATTCTCACGATGGCTAAGGCGTTTCTTACTATTAATGAAGTTAATCAAAGAGTTTCAATGAGAGAACGATTTTATCTGTAGAACAGCAATTAAGCGGCACAGAAATACATCTCGCTTTTCTTAGCAGAACTTGTAATTGCAGGTTTCCCGTGGTATTTTATTAGACGGCTTGCGGCGACAGAGTGGAGGACGCCTCCAAGCGGCAATTTGTTTTAACGCAGCAGAAAATATAAAGAAAACACGCAGATAAACAATACACGTGCACACGCACAGGAGAATCCTCTGTCGAGCAGGGTTATGCCCACAGGTATAAATGAGAAGTTAAACCTGTTTATTTTAAATTCGGAAATCTGTGTCTGCGCTCTGAAGGGAGTATTTAGAAAGGTGCTCTAGGCTGGAATACACTTAAAGTGTAAAGTTTACGCAAGACTTATAACATTTAATTCCAGATACAATTATGAGCACAACGTTTTATTAAGTCCCTTACTTTCAGTTATTTAAATAAAAATACAAAAAACTAAATTTCGCTCACTGCTCTCAATGGAGATGAGATGAACTCCGCGCCTAAGAATGCGTGTGGACAAACTACACGCTCAAAAAGTTCGCAATACTATTGGGAGTATTTTGATTTGTAAAAAAAATAACGCGCGTTGCAATTCTGCCGAACGTCCGCGTTTCGTGGGTTGGGAGTCAAAACAGTGCAATGACGTCATGTAATCGCCCTAACTGATTTTTTTTTTGTGGACGTTTCGCGAAACTAAAATTGAAATCTCGTGACCCGATCATGGGAAACATCATATGACTGAAGCGGAGGCTCATGGGGCGGCTCGGTGCTTCCAAAAGATTTTCTGCCCCGTAGTGAAACAGGAAACACAGCAGCACAACAACAGATGTGGATTCAAGAAGTGGGGGTCAAACACATCGGTTTAACAGCAGGACACACAAATAACACTCCCTTCTTTTTTTTGCAGGGGATCAAAAAGTCACATCCATGTTTTCAAAGTGTATATACAAGTTATTGAAGTCGGGACAAAAACAGAAGTTTTTACTCACAGATATTTGCCGGGCCCTTGTCTAATACTGTAATTTATCTGTGTTTACTGTAGATGTCGGGTCGGTCTCCAAGTCTCTGGCATACTCTGCTAATCCAAGCCAAAAACAACATCAACAAGGCTAATATGCACTGTTAAAACGACGATTCTGAGGAAAGAGGGGAAAAAAAACGATCCATTTGAATTAGGCTTAGCTGCGTTATTTTGTGAAAAATATTCAGACTCAAAACTTCTGTTAAGTAGTTCTCATAAACAGAGCAATTGCTAGCAATGAAGAAGATTTAAATAGCAGTTAAGCATTCACACTTTTGTTGGAATACACTTATAGTTTCTAAAGGCCCGAGGGTAGAGGCTAAAATTTAGAGCAGAGATTATCCAAGTTTATGTTTTTCTGTTAAAGAGACATTCCCATCTTTTCTCAAATCTCCAAGCCTTGTCTGTTTCACGCCACCCTTGAACCGTTAACCAAAGGTTACCAGAGGAAACTACATGGGAGAGCATTTAAAAGGGAGATCAGGAGGCTCTGTTTTACACAAAGGGTGGTGGGGGTGTGGAACAAACAGCCCTGCCATGTGGTTGAAGCCGATCCCCTGATGTCTGTTATGTGGGACACTTGGATCAACTGCCTGCTAACTACCAAACGGGCTACATTGGCCAAACATGTTTTGTGCTGCTTGTCTTTGCTCAAGGTAATCAGCTCTCTAATCAAAATGATTGTTCAGAGAGCGTTGAGGAGGGGGTTGGAAGTCATGTTGGAGCAATTCAGACTGCTGGTGAGGTTTCAGCAGAATCTTTGCTCATGATGATCTGCAATTTGCAGAGGAGCAGCACACACAGGCTCACAGAACAACGTCTCTGGTTCCACTCCATTTCTGACACCCCCAAGCTTCTGCAGAACGAGGTGTCGCCCCCGAATACGCATGGCGCAGTAATTGCAATGGGCGTGGCACAGTACGACAACAAACACAACAGAGCAATAAATCAGGAGCGTGTGATGGCTACATCACATCCAGAGCAGTCTGCTCACAACCTGGGCCCCTATCATGTCCGTCTGGAAATCGAGCCCAATGGCAGCCCGCTGGAGCTCCGGCTGCAGTTCCATCTCCTGCCAGTAGGGGGCGGGCCCAAGGCCGTGGATAGACTGTTCCAACCCTCCAGCACCTAACTTCCTGCGTGTTTGGAAGATGGTTTTCAATTAGGACCTCATTAAGACATGGGAATTAAGAGATGAATTTTGATTTCTCATCCACTCAATTAGTTCAAATCAGTCATTAAGGTCTGATAAGGAATGAGTACCTGAAACGAATGCTGCACTTTGCACTTAATTATTTAATTAACTGCAATAGCTGTTGCAAATATTAGAAGTACTTAAAGGGGAAAAAAAGACCAGCCCGAAGTAACTACTGGACTGTAGCTCTCCTGGATCGGCGTCAGCCATCCCTTTAATAAAGAGTGGTATTGCCTGAGTGGCGCCCCCTGGCGGTGTGATAGTGACCTAAGTCAGCGGATGTGCGTGAACAGGCAGACTCCGGGTGACCGGAGAGCCAGGCAGCCGTGTACAGTGACCCGCAGTGAAGAAGGAATGAGCCCTGCAGCTGAAATGACCTACTGACGTTGAGTCAAGGTTGTCGCTGTGTCACGGCCCCAAGACCAGAGGAAACCGTTGATTCAGCGGGGCTGTGATGAGCTCACACCCAGAAGGCAGGTCAGAGTCACTGAAAACTCCCTCCATCACCCTTCCGTTCTAAAATTACCTGTAACAGAATCAAGAGGGAGAGGACTGGTCCGATTTTGTGCCCGGAAAACCTTCCACGCACGTTTATAAACTTTATAGGAACAAGTAATAGGATTATTCCATGCTGAAAAGAGAAGAAAACACAACGTTTCGGCTGTGAAGCCTACTTCTTCACAGCCCAAGAAGGCTCCACAGCCGAAACGTTGTTTTCTTTCTTCTCTTTTCAGAATGGAATAAACCTGTTACTTGTTCACTTGCAGCCTACGCATGCTACCCACCTGAACTACTATAAATTTGATATGTACATATAGGTAAAAGCTATTGATGTATAATGAAAGTTTGCTATAAGTATAAGTCTTTCGACAAATACGTTGCTATGCGGTTTCTTTATGTACCGTGCATTAGATCAAATTTATCCAACTTCTTATCTGAAGAAGCTGCTCAGGACTGTAGACTCCTAATTCCTCTGGTGAACGATCGCCTGTATACAGTACATGTATCTCTAGGTCGTCGTTAGTAAATGATCATTTGTTCTCCTCTTGCCTAGTAAAATTGGGATTTTTTAAAACAAATTTAAGTTTCATTTCTTGTGAATCTTGTAAAGCTCTGTGAGGCGACCGAATCGAAGCTGCAGTTCAAAATTTGCACAAGTTGCGCACGTTTACTGTTATTGTCTCACCAACAACACTGAAACACAATTATGAGAAATACATCGTAATCGCAGAACTTTCAAAAAAAAAATAATGGGACTGTAATTAGAGGAACGCCGGTCTGCAGAACATTTGCAGGCGTTTGCCACTAAACTCCAAAACGTAAATGGCCTCAAAAAGCCTCTCCCAAAATCCAACCTAATCGAGAAATTAGCCACGCTTAATTTAATTTAAAAATCTTTTAAAAGTTTTCACGAGTTAATTCGGTTAATGAAATATACTCACAGGCTTTAGATCACACAATAGTAGCATTCATGATTTGTTAATCCATCACACAGACAGAAATGTCTTTTACAGCCTCCGAATTGCTGTTTTTGCACATGATTTGTTTTTTTAAAAAAGAGGCCGCGGAGATTGCTTTGTAATGCCGGGAGATGGACACTAGGGGGGGTGGGCAGAGTTGAAACGACATTTCCAGAACTGAAAGGTCATCGAAAAGCAGTTCCATCAATCGCACATTGTCAGTCACTATTTTAATTCGTGTATATTTTAAGCTTCTTTATTGTTACCTTTATGTTTGCGAATTTAAATCTAATAGTTTATCACATGCTTAACAATCACAGCTGCATTTTCCCAAACCTGAACACATGCGCGTACCTGCACCCGCTTATTTCTGCTCAGTTTCTAAGGCGATGCACAAGACCTGTGAGCATTACACATGAAAGAACAAGATAACTCATTTTGTTGGGCAGGATTAAAGACATAGAGCGTTGCATGCACCACGTGTCATACGGCATGCATTCCTACAGATATATACTGTATATATACTAAAAAATGTCTCGTAGATTTACACATCATACCGAGTCTGTCGATTCTGGAACAAGAATGAATTAATTTCACCTTGAAAGGTTAAAAAGAAGACATAATCAATGTTTGGGGTATGGTTTCTTCTTCAGGTGTCTTTTTTTTCTGAGGGATACAATCTATTGCCTATCGGAGACGATCCCCGAGACGCTGTATCAGAATCTCTTCGATAAGTGACGTCATCTACTCGAGAGACACGCGGCAGCAGTGTCTGATAATCCGTCAGGGAGGGGGTGAGTGGCACTGTATATGAAACATCACGGGACAGCTGGGAGCCTGTGATATACATCGAGCGCTGACACATGTCTCCTGGGCCATAGGGGTCTGAGTAACACTGGAAACTGCATCGTGACAAAATCCGCACCTCGGTGCTCTCTGTTCCAGGGGCATTCCCAGATCCCAGGCGGAATGCTTGACGGGGGTCTATGAGCATGTGCCCGCAAAGACGAAGATCCGAGCAGTCCGGATCCAGGCCCGGCAGCACAAGGGCCATCGGACCTAAGTTGAGCGCAAGAAGCACTTCTTTCCTGACAGCAGCGGAAGCCGAGTTCAGCTCTCGATGTGGTGACTGTAATATTATGACAACTGCAGTCAAGTACTGTACATGAGCTCAGACGTGCCACTTGATTGTAAGTCTCTCAGCTCCCGCTACCGTAAAGCCTTTTTCCAGGTTTCCCCCAGCTGCGTTTACGACAGCTACCGCAGTAGATCATTACAGTAATTCGGCTCTGCTCGCAGGCTACCCAAGCTGACCTGAAACATTTAATATCCCCCAAGACCCTCTGGTAGGGCCTATTCAGGATAGGATATTGAGGAATACGAGTAATACCAGGGTTACACACGAGAGTACACCATTCAGGGCGCCTAGTGAGTTTGGCTTCTCTGTAGATTTCGCCAAGGAACTCTTCCAACAGCACGGCGAGGGAGACTTGTTCACGACCCCCACTACTCTTTGCGTAAAGCAGTGGGGGCATCTTCTGGCCGCATAGAACTAATGCCAATAACTTTGCTGACTTGTACTCATACGGCTCCAATCACGGGTGAAGGGCAGCACACACTGATAAAGCGCTCTTCGATCATACGGCAGAAATTCGTCTTTCGAAAACGATTACGAACATGACGGCGTTAACGCCGATTATTGATTGGCTACACAACTGTTATCAGAAATGTCTTTGCGCTGAGGGTCGGGAGGAGTCGGAGCAGAATCCAGACCAGGGCGCAGGGTGCGAGCAAGACGTCACTCCATCGCCTCGCACACACGCACGCCAGCGGGAGGCCGGCGCAGCTTAGCAACACCGTTAACCCACAGAGAAGGTCTTTAGACTGTGGGAGGTCAACGGACAAAACCCACGAGGCCCATATGAAACATGCAAACTCCATACAGAAGACGCTGCAAGGCCAGTTGAAAACCAGGTTCCTATTGATTGTCAATTGGCGGTTCAGAAATCAAAGTTTTAACGGTAGAACTATCACAAGTCACACAAGTTTACGAAACCAAAAGTAAAAGTCAATGTGTTTTTTTTATTTTAAGGTTGGGAGATATAAAGCACAAATATGCGCGAAAAAAAACTTTTAAAACACGACACTCGGGTTGAATTCGAGAAAAAATGGCGCGGCCGACCTCTTTGTTTTCCACAGGAGTTAATCGACACCATATGGGATGTCACTTCCCTAGAACACAGTTTTTCCACCCCCTGGCTCGGATACAAACTTCCTGAAATCCGCCGTGCATATATAGCGGCTTCATTCCGACTGTGCTGCACAGAACCGACAGGAACAGCCCCTACCGTCGCCTCCTACTCCAGCCGGGAAGACTCAGGTAAAGTTCATTTGCCACGACTGCTCCTTAAATGTGAACAACAGGGCAGCCCTTTTAAAGGAGCGGGTCTCCCTTTTTTTAGGAAGTGTGACTGTATTTTAACTGTTTATTAACAAGGTTTCCAAGTGGTAAATCTCACCGAAACCGAAAGGTCGGATGTTTAACCGGGTATTTGGCTTGTTTTTGCGAAGGGTAACACGCGAATTAAGTGCGAGTGAGTGATTTTCTAGACGAAATTGTTTACGACTCTTAAATACAAAACACCAGACAGATCCATTACTCCTGAAAGATGCGCTACATGTTTGGGAAGAAGCCGAGAGTCTTACGGTTGTTACAGTACAATATTAAACCCCTAGATTATTTTACTTTAAGGCAGGACCGACCGTCTCACTCGAACATGAAATGCATTTTCTGCAAATCACACAAAAGAAATTGGACCCGTCTTTAAAAAGTCGTGCACTGCACTGTACAGTTCGAAACGACAAGAGCTTTAGCGCTGATCGGCGGCGGTTTAGCGTGAGTGGTTCTTATGAAGTCGGGCATAAAGACCACAAGTAACTCGGTCTTACACGGCTGTTGTGGGTCAACATCTGGAATATTAGCTGGCTGCTGTGTAAAATCGAATTACAGCGTTAGAAATGACGACAGAGCAAAACCCCCGCCGATATCAACCTGTGACCGCAGGCGCCGGTATGCGGTAGAAATATTATTTCCAGCTGTAAACTATTCAAAACCAGTTTATCATAAACACCGGAATAAACATGTTTCATTATTTAAAAAAAAAACACAAGGAAACTTGCGATTCCTCTGACGCAGATTTAGTTTTACACCTTTGGAAACAAACGAACCTACGCCCGAAGGAAAAGCTCATTCCAGTATCGGGACTGTTTTAAATCTGCACTGCTGTCTATGCAAATTCATAGACAGAAAAAACACAAAATACACAGTCATTATTTTATGTACTGTATAAGGAATCCCGTCACTGTTTTGTGCAAGACAGAGGGCTGCAGCTTGTTGGGAGAATACATCCTCGCAGCGACAAGGACTAGGCGAGACGTGAAAAAAAGATCCGACAGCGCCGAAGTCCAGATTTTTTATATATAAACGCTGAGAAAATGCAGTTGTGCGCTTAGCTACTGCGGTTTCAAATAACTTTTTTTTTGCGTAGCACTACGACTTCACTGTCCTGTAAAATCGTCGTGCGCCGAAACGCACAAATTCTCGTTTCTTTGTTGTTTTTTTCAGTTCCTAGTGTGTTGTTTTTTTTTTGAAGTTCCTAACTTCAGTTCATCTAAACCAACCTCGTCGCTTTGCTTACTCAACATTCAGGAAGCGAATTCTAATGAGGGGTGTTTTGGTGTAAAACGCAATGCAATGTCATTTAAACCTCTTCGAACGTACAGTGTAACAGTAAAATAATTTCTATCTCGTGTATCATAGAGGTAATAGGAACGAAAACTTCTGCAAATGACGACGAGCGCTTTGTCGTTATCAAAGAACCGACAGAATAATTTACTGACCTGTCCGCAGCGCCTTTGACCTATTGTGTCACATACAGTAACTGAACTCCCAGCGAAAAGCTGAGAGACAATGATGAGCAGACATCATTCCAGTGTTCAAATTCCTCAGAGGTCCTGGACCAAGTCAATTCACCGGACTTCTGTAAAATCAATAGTGAAAAATGGAACCAGATTAGACAAGTGGCAACTTCATCAAAGCACATTCAGACAAAGAAGAGAAGGCAGTTCCTTGCGCTAAGGGTGGTGGGTGTCTGGAACAAGCTGCCCAGCCACGTGGACAAACCTTGACTGCGAGGAGAAAAGCCTGATGTTACTAGTAGGCAAAAGAGCTAGGTGGGTCGAACAGTCACCATGCATTTGTAACCTTTGCCCCTGGTTAAATGAGGGAAGGTCGCTGGAGAACCGACACGCTGCACATGGCTGACAAGTAACCCCGCCTCCTGATTCCCTCCTTCTCCCAGAATGCTGCTGTGCGGAGGAGTCCTGCTGCTGATGGCCAGCGCCCTGGCCTACCCCTCCCAGCAGGAGTGGCTGGACTCTGAGTGGGAGAGCTGGAAGATGACCTACAGGAGGCAGTACAACGGCCTGGTGAGTCCCCTGACCCCCTGTCGGTGGGCTGACCACTCCTCGGCTCCCCACACGCGATTCGATCTGATCTCGGCCTCTTCAGATCAGCCGTAGCTTCAGACTGGCGGGTAGGGGATAATGAAGCTTAAATTGGAGTACGGTAGATAGATAATACTTTATTAATCCCGTAGGGAAATTGATGAAGCACAGTAGCGCCTCGTTCTCGGGTTTTAAGGTCGGAATGATCCAAAGTGGAAATGCCACCTGGATCGGGGCTCCGCCAGACCTGGTTGTGTTTAATAACCACAGACCCCAAAAAGGGGCACCTGGAACAGGTCAGCCCATCATCGGACCCCAGCGTCTGGAATCCAGTAGGTTCTCCCACGTCAAGGTCCGAACGGCTCTTGGCTGGAGAGAAGTGTTGCACTGATCCAGTGTAGGTCTCCCTGAGGACCACAGCAGCCAAGGACTGAGGGCTTTGTGAATGCTTGGGGAGAAACGTTGGGCTTAACTGGCTCGGTTCGCGGGGGGCCCCCTGGGGCTGGAACCCCTTTCGGACGGCGTGAACCGGGGGACAGACGGAGACAGGGTGGAGGAGGGAGGGAGGCATCTGAGTTTGGTTCATGTAGCTAGTTTGGTGGGGATGGTGATAAGGTGGGTGACTGACTGGTCGTCGTGATCCCTCCCGAGCTTCAGTTCATGACCTTTGTTTAGGTGAATCGCTTCCTGCCTCCTCAATTAACTGAACTCCTGCCAGTTTCAAGGGACACAGGAAACCCAGTGGATCAGTAACCCCTGACCCCGATCTAGGCCTGACCTCAAGCGAATCAGGTGACAGCTCGGCCGGACGGGACAGGGCTGCTGATCAAGCCCTCCAGTCTGAAACCTGCTGCCGACAGGATGGAGAATTTCCTAGCTGTGCATGGGGGGCCGGACGCGCATTGCAGGGCTCAGCAGTCAGGTGTGCGCTAGGAGAGTGGGACAGATGCAACCATTGCTTTAAAACCTTTTCAGAAACGCTTGATTTCCCAATTTCCCTTCGTAATGGCCGAAGGGTGACAGTCTTTGACGTTGCAACGTCTAGAATGAATTTTGCAATGGGATGGTATTTGCATCTGCAGGGTCTCGAACAGACATGGTCAGTCATCATTAATGAGCCCCGGCTTAGCTCCGGATTGGCCCTGATGGGTAACAGGCCATTTCCCAGCATTGCAGGGGTCTTAAATGGTCTTGAAGCAGAGTGAGGACACTTGCAGGACCTTTTCAAATCACAACCTGCTCCACTGAGACTCTGTTTCAAGCTTGTCTGCTTGACAAAGAGGAAGTACAGAGCTCCAAGAATAGGGGGGAAAGCCCCATAACTATCTTTAATCTCTCCTAATCATATTTCATCTGTAGGGTCAGAGGCAAACACATTTACAGTACCAGAAATAACAGGGATGAAGAGAGATTTTTCCCTCAAAAGTGAAAAAAGAACTGATCACTGCAAATTCTCACCTCTGACTCATTAGGGCTGCACAGACTCATCCTATGTGGCTGGAAATCAAAATTTCCAAAAAAAAACTGAAAAAATTATCGAACTCTTCTGAATTCAGAATCTGACTACCAGGGTAGCAGTACTCCAGTGACATCTGAAAGTCATAGTGGCATCTCATGCAATTTACGGTATCTGTCTCCTTTAAAGCAACTAAACAGAAGCTGCTGGTTACTTACTGTAAATGTGGCCAAGACTGATCTCAGTTCCACGTACGCTGTCATCAAAGAGGGAAGTGTTTTTAAAACGGCATCGTGAATTTCCTCTTTCAGTCGAAGTGTTCTGGGGCGCTGCAGGTCTTGCTCAGCCACTGGGAAGAGGATGTGTGTCTGCTGGTTCAAACTAAAGGCAGGTTATTCAGTAAAGCAGGTTTTGTGTTTCCCTGCATTTCTTTGAGGGGAGAATAATTATCAATTGCATTTATATAGCGTCTTTCAACTCAAAGGATCCCAAAGTTTTTTACTTGTAGGAAGGGACGAATAACATCCACTGCTGAAGTACAGTGCCCACCTGGGTGGCACACAGCAGCCCATCTGCAGACCCACTGCAGCGGACAAGGTGGAGAAGTCAGAACATGCATCACCAGCTGAATTATGAGAGAAATAGAGGAAGACTGGGTAGCACAGTGGCACAGTGGTTAGCTTTGCTGCCTCATAGCACCAGGGCCCAGGGATCAATCCCAGGGTGCTGTCTGTGTGGAGTTTGTATGTTCTCCCTGTGTTTGTGTGGGTTTTCTCCCACAGTACAAACACACGTCAGTAGATTAATTGGCTTCTGTGAAAATTGTGTGTGTGTGTGGGCCCTGCGATGGACTCGCATCCTATCCAGGGCGTACCCTGCCTTTCACCCGTTGCTTTCTGGGATAGGCTCCTGCTCGCCCGCGACACTGAACTGAAAGAAGAGGGTAGAAAACGGATGGATGGATTTAGGTAGACCAGATCGTGAAAATCCGAAACAAAATTGAGCTATCATCAAAACTGACTC